ATAATATATATATATATATAAAATATGTAATTTTTTTAATCATAGAAATTGAATAATTATTGGGATGAAACAGAATTACATTTTTATAATAAGAAAAAGAATAGTAAATTGAATTAATGAGGTTTATAAGAAATAAAAGAATCGATTTCTAAGAATCGCTTTTTGATCCCTTCTCAAATATCCTGTAAAATACAAATTGGCAGTATCTCTCCAGGAACGCAGCGCATCCCACCTGTGCTTCGTAGCAGCTGTCGATCAATTTTACGACCTTCTATCCGCAGAAAAACGAAAATCATAGGAACGATACGTCCAATTGGCGATTCGTCTCTACATCTGTCCTGAGCATTTACCTTTTTGTATAACGAGCATTCTTTTCGATTATAATTGATTCTGTACGGCACGATTGAATTTATCGATAGCATCTTTTCATCTGTGATCGAACGTGTTAATCGGATTGTATATCTCCCGCTACAAGATAACTTGAAGTTCACATCTCGTACATATAGTACATTATGAGCGTACGAGATATGTATGTTGAACACGAAAGGCAGAGAGAGTTCTCTCACGTTCAATCGTACAGAACCAATATAATCACCTTATTGCATATACCATTTTATGTAGCCATTTCAAATTGACAGTAAATCTACTTGCTACATTTCCGTTGTCAACTTCATTCATCTCCTGTCAAAGATATTTTTTTCGACTGTCTGCTTTTCCAGACGTATCCTATCTTATGTAAATTTTAATGACAATACGTCAAATTTTGTAGTTTCAATTAGAAATATTCACGATGTCAAGCGATTTTTGGTTTGCCTAAATTATTTGGTATTATACCTCGAAGTGGAAGAATATCCGTGTATCGCGGATATGACCGAAACGAGAAAGAAATCACCTGAGGTAGCCAGCAACACGGTAACTGTTTTACTAGCCAAACAAGCAGAACATCTTGTGGATGGCCATCGTATCAAGGTCGTCGTCGTGGGCAGTGCGCCTAAGGGTGTTGCGGTCGCTATAGCGATTCTATTCAAAGTTGGTGAATTTTCGATTTTTTTCTAATTTCTAACCTTTCGTATCATTTTGATTTTTTAATTAGTTTTTTACGCTATGTATTTTTATTATAATAATGATTTAATTATTTTATAAAATATAGCAGCACATATTAAATATATGATGGCACATACATAATGAACAAAAAATTGTTATACTTTTTATAACCTTTATGATAAATATTATGTAAGTATAAAAATTTATTTACAAATTAAATCGCGCAGATTAATTCTAGGTGCATACTCTATAAATTTATAATTTTTTAACAGTGTAATATTTTGATATACATTTCATAAATTACCATTAACTTCGTAAAAATACTGATGCATATAAGTCAACGTCAATATTAATATATTATTACTTCATTGATGTATAATTTATATACTTCGAAGATATATCAACATTGATTAATGCACGTGTGTGTAATAGATCCGTGTCTCATTCCATCCGTTCTCATTAGATGATACGATAATGTACTCGATATGTCAATCTAAACATGTCCACAATGATATCGAGTGAATGAGACATAGCGCCGGTCCACATGATTCGAGCAGTAATTCGTATTTGTTCGTCGAGAATCAATATAATGCTATATGTTGGACCTTGGGAGATATACCCTCGAGTTGCACCCAACAAAGGACAAACCAAGGAATGCCCTAATATGTGTAGGTTCGTGCATGAGTGTACCTGCAGGTCTACAGGGCTCCTGAATATAGGCTCGTTAGTGTGTACATGTGTGCCGGCTCAAAAAGGCTATTATGCAAATGATCCACAGAAGACCAGAAGAGGGAATTCGGCTATAAGAAGAAGTAAGGTGGAACATGAAAGAGGAAAGAAGATGGCAAGAAGAAGATTATAGAAGATGTAGAGAAGTGGGCCGAACCTTTCGCTCGTTATCGGATCGTAACGCGAGCATTTACACGTCGGCCAATGCGCCCCCGCAAGACGGCTCTAACTGACTGATTTATGTTAGTAACTATGGAGAGAGACTGCAATTTATAACATCGTTCGTCTGAAATCCTCGCGAAATGAATACAAATAGTATTGCAATATAATAGTAGTTGATTTAAGATTTTATGAAGGATGTTTAAGATTTTATGATGCTTAGAAGCTTTTTAAAAATTTCATGGAACAGTTGCGCATAGACTTACTTTTTGGTCTTAACAAGTCCCGATTATGTAATAATGGAAAATGAGAAATATGAAATTGTTTGTAACATTCTAAATGAAACTATATATTACCATTGTATTGCTTAGGCATAATTTCGTATCTGTTGCATCAAGAAGGAAAATTAACTGTTAGACGGAACGCATTGTGGACTGCAAGGTGCAACAGCTAGTGTTGTATCCATATGTTGAGTACATTCGGTAGAGGATAATAAATGTGGGCGACTAATTCTAGGTTTCGGTTTCCGCAAATTTACGAGGGCAAACAATGGTGTGTGCATGCGGTGAGACGCAGAGGGCGTAACTGACGGACGATAGACTTCTCGTTGGCCGGACTTATGGTGTATATCGAGAGACTAAATAATATATAGTGGAATTTATCGTATATATTATCGAGGAGGAGTCAGGATAGTACCGAGAATAACTAGGATATTAGGAAACCCGTTATCGTACATGATAACAGTTTTTGAGGAAAATTGCTTGCATTCCATATCAAATTAATACTATAGATTTTCAAAACCGCTTCCTTGATTCTTTTGACAATGACAAATGACTTCCTTAGTTTTTATAAAAATTAGAAATGTGTACTAATTAGAAATAAATGAAATCCGTTATCGTACATGATAATAGCTTTTGAGGAAAATTGCCTGCGTTCCATGTCAATTATTACTATGGATTTTCTCAAAACTGCTTCCTTGATTCTTTTGACGACAAATGATTTCCTTAGTCTTTATAAAAATTCGGAACGTGTATTAATTAGAAATGAAACATGTAATTGTATTCTAGCCAATATAGATTATTTAAGACTGCGAAACTATGAAACTCGAAATCTTGATGGCGCTTATCTGACATGACCATGAAGATCTCCTGATTACCGGAATGTTCGGCAGCAAAAGACGTTATGGAAGAAACAGGAAGAAGCGTTTCAAGAAGAAGAGCAAGAAGTGAAAGATATGACCGAGTCGTGCTGCTGCACTTTACATTGCAGCATGGCAGATTGCATCAACGAGATCATCGCAAAGTACGAAAATATGACGCTACAGCTTGCCGTCTACCTTGTGAATCTACCCAAATTCTTCACAACTGTAGCGTGTCAGACATCTTTTTTCTTGTTGTTTTCTCAGTTTCTTGTCTCATTGTGACACACATGTTGGATGGCTCGTATCAAGCTGTGCAAATTATATGGGCAGAACCTTCGGCGAAAGCTACTTCGTTGGTATATTCTGGGCCATATCTACATCGATAATATGCAAGTAGTTATGTCATCTTATGGACAGAGTATCAGATAGTGAGAAATTGTGAGCATTTAAATGATTCGATAAAATAAGGAAATTAAAACTTGCTCTCAAACTTCTCATCGTGTTATCACGACAAGAATAAATGTTTCAAGGCTTAATGAAAAATGATTATTACCTGCATTTCAGCATTGCTAAAATACATTTCTAATAATAATATTTCTGGTTTACAATGGTGACTGTTTTTACAGCTATGTAATTATTTAAATATAGATCAATATGGAAGACAAGAAACTGATCAAAAATATTTATTCTGTCTTCTACATTTATATTAATTGTGAAGTCTAACATTTTGTTATATACATTAATATATAATCCAATAATCAAACATTATTTCTTTTGTGAAATATTTCTTGATAATTTTCTGTGCAATACATTAAAAAGAACATCTTAAAAATATTTTTATCTACATTAAAAAAACTATCTATCCGATTAAAAGAAATTGATAAGACTTTTATTATGCAAATAAAAATGATTCAGAAAAGAAGAAGAAATCTAAAATATTAAAAAGAAATTTATTATTTAGTATTTGTAATTAAAATATAATAAGCATAAGTAAAATATAATAAGCACAGTGAAAATTATATGCTTACGATTATTGCGAAACAAAAGTTACCGATCTATTCAAAAGTTTTAACAGTTCACGATACTCTACACCTTTTAGAAGACACGCTTGATAAAGTATGATAATTAAGTGGTGTACAATAATAGATCGGAAGCAGAAGAATTTAACATAATATATTGAGAAGTTTTGTAGTTAGTCCGCCGTTTGTCTTAACGTGAAGTGTGAAAACACCATCTGTCTGAGAAAAATACGTCCATCTGTTCGTATACAAGCATATTAAAGTGTATAACGTAAAGCGTTAACATACATCATGTAACATACACTATTCGTCGTCATTACTACAAAAACGCATTTATATGCGATGCGATGGCCCTAGAAGAATAATGTCCATTAACTTTTACGGAGTGATTTACATGATCGTCCGAATATCCCATTATACCACAAATTAACCTGCACAAATTAGAACCGCTCGAAGCTTAATGATCTATCGTTGAAAAACGATATATAAATTACCAGTGGTCCTTTATTATATCACTCGTTTGCCGTGCCATTTGTCACACTTCACGGATTCGTATAACGTTACATTTACGATATTCCTGGATATCCTTAGTGTATGCTACGTTAATGAAACTATAAAAAATTCATGGAGAAACAAATAGCCAACAGTTACGAAGAAACCATTGCGGGAGAAAAATGAAGCACGTGCGGACAGGAGGTCGTAGAAGCATTCTTCATGCTCGTTTGACATTTTATAAGGAACATTTTATAAGGAACGCTACGACTGAAAATCTTGTAACGACTGTCCTAGGTAGGACGGTAGTTCCCCGGGAAGAGGAACCGACGAGAAGAAGCCGTACCGGTCCCATAATTATTCATGAATGAGTTATCGCCCTGCGCAAGACATCGTTTGTGTCACTAGACACTGGCGGCAATCACGATGAAGCGAAATCAACATAGTGAATTCTCCCGAAAATAATGCACTTCTCAACACTATTTCTTGATCGGATCTTAACGATTCCTCGCATTAGGGGACTTTGCAAACAGTGCGATTGATCACGCATTCATTCTTAATGTGATTCCCGGGGGGGAGGGTCTGATGCTCTTGTTGCATAACGATTCGAAGTGCGTAATAATGTTGCCTGCTGGGCAGCAACTAGTTGCCGTTAATTACTCTCTAGCTTCTCTGTTCACTATCCTGTTCAACCATTCATCCCTTTGTGATTTTTTCGCAGCGCCTTGCCTCTGAGCTCGTCCTCATAGATATGAACGAGGATCTTGCCAAGGCGGAAGCAGAAGACATCAGCCATGCGGCAGCATACCTCGGCAATCCCAGAATTGTCGGTACCAAAGGTGAAGCCAATGGGAGGAGGCTGCAGAAAAATAGCGAGACCGTCATTACACTGTCCGCGAGTAACGAGCAATTATTTCAAAACGACCACGCTTTAACGTTCGATAACTAAATAGCGCGATTGCGATTAACGATAAGGTCGCCAGAGGTAACATCCGCGTTATTGCCTACGTTGAATGATATCGAGTTATTAAAATTAAGATGAATTATATATTATATAAGATGAATTATATGATTTCATGTGATGTGCCGTAAGATGAACGCACAAGCGACACGCTTATCTAGAAATTAATTATCAATTGATAAATGATAGTATCGCTAATGCATGAGAAACAAAAATCGGATCCACGTTGATTTTTATTTCTTCCTGGGAATAAAGCTAATAAAAATTTAAAAGTATTTTATAATTATTGTATCATATTATATTCTTTCCCGATTTTTGAATATGGAGAGAATAAGTTATTTTTTAGAATAAGTTTATTTTTTTTACAAATACATCTTTTAGAATAGGTTTATTTTTCTTATAAATACATCTCTCGTGTAAAAGCAGCAAAACAAATGAAAACAAATAAAATTCTGTGATAAGCGATAAATCATCCAATATGTATTACGCTCCGACAGATTATGCTTGTGCCAGAGATGCAATGGTATGCGTGATCACAGTTGGAAGCCAGTCTCGTGAAGATCTGCGGTCAGCCGATTATCTAGAGCATAATCTGAAAATTTTCAAGGACGTCATTCCTAACGTTTCCAAATACGCGCCGAACAGCATTCTTCTCATTCTTTCAAAGCCAGGTACACTCTTATTATCTACTATGCATTTAATATGTTTGCCATATTAGAAATTACATATATATCGTCTGGCTTTTTCTAATAAGCATTTTATATATTTAATATATTTTATATAAAACATTTTATATATTTAATAAATAGCAACATGTTAATGCAACATGCTCCTCTATGATTATATTCTCTAAGATATTTTAAACGCATTATAATTCGAAATTGATCAATTTTAATCGAACATTACACAAGTATAGTATAATACATGAATAATTATTTTAATCATGTTATTTAGTTGATATTCTATCGTACGTTGCTATGAAGCTGTCTGGATTTCCACCAAATCGTGTTATAGGATTGGGAACGTTTTTAGACAGCTGCAGATTTCAGTATTTTATCGCTCAAAAACTCGGACTTTCAGCAAATGCGGTTCAAGCGTTAATCATTGGCGAGAGCGGACCAGCTTCTGGTAATTAGCGTTAAAATATTATAATTATAATAATCGCAATGTAATTACGATATTCATAACAAAGCTAAATAAAAATTTGTTTTGATATATGTTTTGATACTATAATGCAGTTGAAGTAGAGATAATTTTATTTACAATATTTTAAGAATTAAATTGCAAAATTCGACTTTATATGGTTCTTCATAGCTTTATAAAAAGAGAAGTCGAAAAGATTTTATGACAAAATATTTAATTAAATATTTTGATATATAATATTAGTACCGGTCTGGTCCGCTGTTGCGGTAATGGGCATGCCTTTAAAAGATATAAATAAAGAGATCGGCACTAGAACGGATCCGGAATCCTGGAACGATTTACATGCGAAAGTTATCAATACCGATAATGAATTGATCCTCAAGAAAGGCTATCACAATTGGGCAGTTGGAATCTGTGCAGGCGAAATTGTTGATGCTATCGTGCGCAATACTTGTGCTTGTTTTACTGTCTCTACGTTTATGAAGGTTACTGATAAGTTTTATTAAAACTATTAAACTTATATTTAGTGATATTATTTAGAGGACTATATTTCTTATTTTCCTTTGCGTCGTATAATTATAGTATTCATTTATTATTATAATTACAACATTATATTCATTATAATATTAATTACAACATTTATTCATTTTAATAAAAGAAAATTTATAATAAATATAAAAATAATGATATATATAAATATGATATACATATATAAATGTACGTAAATTTTTTGTTTACAAATATAAATTAATATATTTTTGTGAACAATAACTCTTCTTTTTCTTAGCCAAAATTGTCAAATATATTTTAGGGCTGCCAACATGGACTGGAAAAGGATATTTTTACGTCATTACCTTGTATGGTAGGGAGAAACGGCGTACAGTCCTTTATTCGTTTATTATATACATCTAAGGAGCAAGAATTGATGTCGATATCTTTCCGAAGAATTTATGAGGCGCAAAAATTGATTCTCGACAAGATTGAATAAATAAAAAATGGAATTAAAGAAGTATTTGTTGTACAATTTTATAATTAACGTTATTCAGTTGTAACCTAAAGTATTAAATACTGTCAATGATTAATGTGAGTAAATTATATTTTAGTTCTATATTTGACAGAAATAAAAATTTATATATATATATATATAGTTTTATTATATATATATATATATAGTTTAGATTTTTTATCACGAATTATAATGATTCACGTCAATTAAAGAATTATATTGAAACACTGTGTATACAAACACACTATGTATACATAATGATTTCATGACAAAGGACCTTATCTTTCATCGTTGGTTTACAATCCAATCAAGTCAGAGAGTTGAAAAAAGAAATTCGCGTTTCTTTTAGGACGATTGGTTTTATTGCGCAATCAAATGACCATAGGAATACCATAAATTGTAGGGCGTACTCCGAGGATTTTGGTCCCAATTTGCAAAGATTAATGCAGACTACGTATAATTAATTGCTCCGTGTATGGAGCAGTTAACTGCCCCGTTAAAGGCGATCGAGATGATGAAACGATTGCTATTACAAATATAAAGAGAGGAGGTTTCACGTGGCTCTAATGGTCAACGATACTGACTAATTTGTTACAAAATTCACGAATACTGATATCACACTTTTTATCTCTGCCATCCTTTACATTAGTTAAGACATGTTTACTACCCAGTGTTATTGCTGCTCGCATATCAATAATAAAGTGTTCTCAATATACATAAGATCTAAGTCCGTATTTGTAATCGCGTTTCTGCTGAGAATCATTATTTACATTTTTTCTTGTATTTGTTATCGATATCTTATTTTTACATCTTTATATTAAATCATATGATCCAAAAACTTATTTAATGAATTATTGTGTCATTTATATGAATAACGCTCAATTTTAAAAAGAGTCTATCAATGAAAAAGTTTGAGCAAAATTCAAATACATTTGTAACATATCACTAAACGAAACTTTCATCTGAAGAAAATTTAACGTCATCATATTTGAATAACGGAGAATTAGAGATAAATAATGAATAATGTGGCAGTTAATATATTTAAAAAAGTAATTTTTTAAAATTACTGATAGTTTCTTTTATTAAATATTTTTTTCTTTGTCTAAAGTATATCTTTCATATTTAAAACATTCAAATATTTAGTTAAAATTTAATTAAGATATTTATAATGGAATATCTTTTATTGTGCTGTACATAATTTTCGCGTATGAGATATCTTTTATTATTAGATTTAATCTAAGATTTGAATTCAATAAATTTTAATGAGAAATATAAAATGGGGGACAATAAAATATTTATCTTAATATCCACAGTTTCATTATTACGCAAAATATTGATATATTTATATATTGATGTTTATAATCCTTAAATTAAAGACTATAATTTTTTATAATCATAAAGAAATTGATTAATTATACATCATTTTTATAGCTGGCCTTGAGCGCAGTTGACAATAAAAATATTGATGAATTATGTTAAGCTGTTCACGTAATCGTCTAGACATGATTATGAAGAGCTAATACACAAGGAATACCTAATAGAATGTGTGTATTAATCTTCATGGAATATTTAATAGAATGTGTACTAATCTTCTTGGAATTGTTGAACGTTTAGTTAAAGATTTCTACGAATTTATATTCGAAGGCAACGAAGTTGTTTTATCCCTGAACTTTGCCTAAAATTTACACATTCTAAAAATAAAAAAATCTTGATATTTATGACTCTGTTATTAGTTGTTATTGCATTGTCGCTAACAATTTTGTCAGGGAATAAAAAAAATTTAATATCTATTGAAAGGATTATTCGAATGAGTACGCAGAATAAGGATAGACAATACCTGTTGAAATAATTACAAGTAAGAATAAAAATGTATACGTTAAAATTAATTTTTAATTATTTTTTTCTTAAAATAATTTTTTTAAGAAAAATAAATAGCTTATCAATAATATGATTCAGATAATTTTATTTGATTATATTAATAGAAATATATAAAAGATTATACAGATATTAATTGTAGAAAATTTCAACTTAATTTTGTTGTAATTATTCAAATTCTAGTAATTATGGAATTATTTGTTTAAATATGAGTTAGGATATTATTGCTTATTTGACAAACTTTTTATATTATACATACTGATATTATTGATGTTACTGATTATTACTTGATACCATATCATTTTATTACAAAAAAATATAAGAAATACAATAAAAATTAGTTTAAATTATAACGCAGCACATACACTTAAAATTTATTTCAATCTTGTTAAAATACATTATTAAAATTTGAAGCTATTTCGTTTTGATATTTCTCAATATAATTACAAATTATTTATCTTTATTAAAATGTGAACTATGTATCATGAATATTTTAAAAATAGAATAAATAAAGAATTTTATTGCTTATATAACATATATTTCTTAAATGATTTTTGTTGAGCTAGCTAGAGCTAAATAAGTGAATTAATTATGTTGAGTAGTTTGACGATTTTTGTTAATGAATTAATATCAGATTATTATAAATAATTAGAAAAACGTAAAAATAAGATATTAATTATTCTATTAAAAATTGAGGAAGATAATTAGACTTGAGATATAATGTCTTATATTAAAAAAATAAACATACAATAAAGAAATAGAAATTTTGTTTATTTCCATTAAACTTCGAATTGGGAAGGTAACAATATATGTATATTGTCAAGATAGATTTTTATATTGCAAAAAATGGGATCATTAATTAATTTCTTAATTTTAATTCCAACTAAATTTTATTTTTAGAAAGCAACATGATAACATCATAATAAATATTATGATTTAATCTTCAAGGATAGCGTCCTCTTATCACTTCTTTATACATCATCATCACTTTTTCTACACTTCAAAATTTTAAATACGTTAGCGAGTTTGAAATAGTAGTAAAAACGTAATTTACATAATCATACATATCTAAAGATGACTATAAATAGCGGAAATATTCGGAGGAACCTGTCAGAATGCAACAAGAATCGGAATTGTTGAGATTTCAATGCCAATAGTGTCTCGGATTCTTAACTACTAGGATAACGTTCAAATTTATTGCTAGTTTCGTATACGTGTGTGTGTGACAAATATTTATTAGAATTTAAATATTAAAAATGGCGAGAATGTTTGTAATTGTATTGATAGTGATAAATTTATCACTAATGACTTGTCAGAACAATAAGAATCGTTCACTACAAACCCAAGATGGATATCAACAGCAACAAAGCCAAGAGAACAACAGTTTTAGTCTCACCCATTTCATACAGATACCGAATAGACCGCAATGTCCGGAAAATCAACGATTGGATAAACATGGAATATGTCGATCAGTGGTAACGTTTTTGTTACTTTCATATTTAATAACTAAAGATGAAAAGAATAAAATTTATATATATATA